AGTTTTCAAAAATACTCCCTAATGATCCTCTGGATTTATGTGATGTCTGTCGAGAGTTCTCCTTTTGTATCTTTGATTTAATTAATTTATGTCATCTCTTTCTTTTGGTAGTTAGGCTAAGGGCTTATCAATTTTGTTCATCTTTTCAAAGAACAAACTATTTCAATGTTCCTTTGTATTGTTTTTATTCTCAATTTCATTAAATTTTGGCTCTGATCTTAATTATTCTTCCTTCCACTGGTTTTGGAATTGAGTTTGTTCTTTTTCACAGACCTGGAAACGCATCATTAAGTTTTCTGCTGTTATATCACTAACCTCATTTGATTCTAAGAATTTTTAAGTTTCTCCCGATTTCTTCTATCACCCATTCATCATTCAAAAGTGTATTATTATATATCTCCATGTGTTTATACAGTTCTGTAGGGTATTTTGGTGTTGACTTCTAATTTCATTCCACTATGATCTGATAAGATGCAATTATATCAGATTTTTGTTTGTATTTACTAAGAATTGCTTTGTGGTCAAATTTATGGTCTCTTTTAGAAAAGGTTCCATGAGCTGCTGAGAAGAATGTATACTCAGCTGTTATTGGATGAAATATTCTATAGACATTTGTTAAGTTCACTTGATTTATATTTTTCAGGTCCAAAGAATCTATACTGAGTTTATATTCAGACAACTTATGTTCAGACAACTTACCTATTGGTAATACAGGTGTACCAGTATTGTACTAGTATCTTTCTCAGGCCTTAATTCAAGGAGTGTCTGTTTATGCAATTAGGCATATAAACATYTGGGTCATAAACATTAATATTGCTATATCTTCCCCTTGAATTGTTCCTTTTATCAGTAACATATAACCTTCTTTGACTCTTCTGATTAATTTTGGATTAAATTTTGCTTTTGAAGATATACGAGTAGTTATTCCTGTTTTCAGGTTCCATTCACATGGTACATCAATTTCATCCATTTGTTCCAGTCTATTCCTGTCTTTGTAAGGTGAGAATTTTACAAACAACATATAGTTGGGTCTTGTTTATTAATCCATCCTGAAAAAATGCTCAACATCACTAGCAGTTAGAGAAATATCAATTAAAACTACACTGAGATTTCATTTCACTCCAGTCAGAATGGTAATCATCAAGAATGTGGGGGAAAAGATATACTCATACATTGCTGGTGGAGCTGCAAACTGGTGCAACCATTCTGGAAAGCAGTATGGAGCTTCCTCAGAAAACTTGGAATGGAACCACCACTTGACCCAGTTATAAAGGCAATTCAAACTTACAGGGTAGAAGTAAAACTACTACTATTTGCAGAGGCTATGATTCTAYACATCAAAAACCCCACAGAATTACACACTAACTACTAGAAAGAAAGATCTCAACAAAGTTGAACTCTACCTTTATTCAACCTTTTAAAGCAATAAAGGATTGATAAACACTATAAGACAAGATAAATTTCAGARAGATTATGCTAAGTGAAAAAAGGCAAACATAAAGTCCACATATGGTATAAGCTCATTGATTTGTGGGGGAGTGAATAGGGAATGACTGGATCTTCTTTTGGGAAGATGAGACTGTTTTGGAACAGATTGTGCAATATATGAGTATATGAAATGTCACTAAATTTAACACTTTAAAATTGTAAATTTAATGTTATGTTGAAATATAATATCGCACTTCAGCAAACATAAACTTTTGAAGTTTTATCTGTCTTAGAGTATTTATCAATACTTCATTCCTTTATATGGTTGAATAACGTTAACTTCAAATACTGCAAGAAAGAAAATTCATGCACAGATGACTTGGTGTTAATTTCTTTTCAACTGCAAAAAGTCAAGTAATAAAAGGAATTTTACTTCCTTTCCTTTTTTAAAGCAAAGGAAAGAAAACTTGAATAATAACTAAAAAGAAGAAATCAATCTAGGAATATCACTAGGACATGAGAGGCATTATATCAAGTTAGAAAATCAATCCCAAACTTACATGTACCCCACAAAATGACTTCAAAATACACTAAGTAAAACCTACAGAAATGAATAATAGACAAATCTACAATTACAAATTCAATATTCTTCTGCAGTAAATGACGATTACTAATCAATACACAGGCCTAAATACTATCMATTTAAATTGTACTATCATTACAAAAATCTTCAACCAGCAACAACAGTAATACACTTTCTTCTCAAGTACAAATGAAACATTCTCCAAGATACATCACATTAGAGAGGAGAGGTCAGGAATCTACAGCCAAAAAACCAAATCCATGCAGTTATCTGTTTTGTAAGTAAGTCCAAAATCTAAGAATGGGTTTTTATCATAAAAGATCAGAAATCAATGAAATTTAAAATGATAAAACAAAAACAAAGAACCAAAGCTGGGCCTTTAAAAAGATTAAACAAAACTAACAAACYACTTATTGAATTGATAAAAAACAAAAAGAAACTATAAATTCCAAGATAATGAAAAATGAGCTAACACTTCAGATAGCAAAGTCATTAAAAAGAGAAAAAACAATGTTAGGAACAATATTATGTTCATATATTCAACAACTTGGATGAAATGGATAAGTATCTTCCTGGATAAAAATCTTCTAAAGTTCATACCAGAAAAAAACTGATGTCATAAACAGTTCTGTATTAAGTAAATAGACAGTTTTTAAAATGTTGCAAGAAAGAATGTTCATGCACAGATAGATGCCTTCACTGGCAAATTCTACACAAACTCTCCCTTAAAAAAACAGGAGGAAGAAACATTGCCTATCCCTTTTTATGAGAATAGCATTACTCTGACATTTTACGAGGTGYTACAAATAAAAAGTATAAATCAATATTCCTTGTGAACATAATTATAAAAATCTTCTACTACAGGTTGAACATTCCTAATCTGAAAATCTGAAATCTAAAATGCTTCAAAATCTAAAATTTTTTTTACTGCAGATATGATACCACTACTGGAAAATTCCACAGCTGACCTCATATGATGTGACACAGTCAAATCAAAGGCACACTAAAAATATTGTACTAAATTACCTTCAACCTGTGTGTGTAAAACAAAAATGTTCAGACTTGGGTGCTGTCACAAAGATATCTTATTATGTCCATGAAGATATTCCAATATAAAAAAAAATATGAAATTCAAAATATTCATGGTCCCAAGCATATGGGATAAGAGATTAATACACACAGTTGAAAATCCCTATTATGAAAATCCTAAATCTGAAAATGGTATGAAATCCAAAACTCTTTGCAGTCTGACAAGATGCTCAAAGTTTCAGATTTTGGAGCATTGTGAATTTGGGATGTTTAGATTTGGTATGCTCAATTGGAAAGTCTATATGAGAATATTCCAAAATCCAAAAAGCTTCAAAATATCTCAGATAAAAGTCATTCAACCTGTATTTGCAAACAAAGTGCCAAATACACAGAATGGATACTACAATATGAAAAGACCAGATTTATATTGAGAATGCAGATCTAGTTTAATAATCAACATAATTTGTTATATTAACAGACTAAGGAAGCAAATTATATGATCATCTCAAYAGATAAAGAAAAGTCATTGCAATATCTATCCAAATAAATGTTCAACCAACTAGGAAGAATAATTTCTCAATCTAGTAAAAGAATGACTAAAAGAAAAACCTTATTTTATCATATTTAATAAGGAAAGCCTAAACACAGCCTTGTCCCATGGGTTCTGGTTACAGCAGCCTCACTCACTGATATTCCAAAGGAGATAGCCCCAYTTGTCCAAACATACACCCTCTGAAGAAATTATCAAAGAAAAATATGATTGGATATTTTCTTTCTAAAATTATCTTGGAATGAGAAAACATATATAATACGAAACCCAGAAATCATAAAGGGAAATAAAAACCTACTAATTTTGACTGMATTTTTTTAAAAAAGGAGGACTGGGATGTGGCTCAGTGATACAGCACTTGTGCAGCATGAACAAGGCCCTGGGTTYACATCCCTAGCACTGCACTGACAGAAGTATAGACAGGGAAAAACAGATATGTTTTATATGGTTTAAAAAATGTATCTGTGTCACAAAAAACAAACAACAAAATGGAAAAGTAATTTTGAGTGACAAACTACAGTCTAATAAAAAATGCACACTAAACATGAGTCGGTGTTTCCAGAAAGAAATTCAAAGTCAGTTAAACTTAGGAAATATGTTCTATCTTACTAATAAAGAAATGAAAATCAAAACAAAAGAACACTTTTTCACTTAGAAAAAAATGTTAATGATTGCTGATATTCAAGATTAATGCAAGCAAAGAAAAAGACATTCATCATTCACTGTTAGCAGTATCATAAATTAAAAGTCAATTTAGAAAGGAAATTTGGCAAAATTCATCAAAATTTAAAATTCACACAGTATTTTACTAAAAAATCCCACTTGTAGGAATTCATACTATGGATAAAAGTAAAACCAAATATATATACAAGAAATTTCAAGGCAGCACTTTCCAAAATTGTAAATACACATAACAATACAAATGAATATCCACCAAAACTGAACATATTAAGTAAAAGATGACATATCTATATAATTCAATATTATATGACCATGAAAAAGGTGCTAACATAAAAATATCTCTTAAGGTATGTAAAATATATAATAATAATGGTAACAATAAGAATAATGATCACATTTATTTAAATTGTATGAATATAAGATTATACAAACATGTGTTTGTGTGTGTATGCACACTAGGATATGCCATGAACACTTTCTGAAAAACTAGACAAACAAGGATTAATAGTATTACCATTAGGGAGAAGGATTGGAGGCTACCAAAGTGAGGACAAATAGATTTTATAACTTCCTTAACTATTTGTACTTTTTACCATTTCATCAACATTTTAAAATGTCTATTTTCCAAATGAAATGTAAATTGTTTATCTGAAATTCCTATAGTAGTTTCAAATACTATTAGTGAGCTTTCTTTTTCATTCAATCTTTTGTTAATTCTGAAAACATTACCTGAATTGATTTGACAGGGGCAGATACATCAGTTGCAAATATAGGTTTTGGAATGCTTTCCACCAATTCCATAATCCCTTGCAGTTTTTTATCAGAGATTCGTAAAGAAACAAGAGGTAACTCTCCAGAAACCTTGAATCTGTTTTAAAAAGATAACAATGATTATAGAGGATCTTTCATTCTGATTTAAGTATACTAATTAAAAAGAAGAATATATTCCTCAAATTATACAAATATAATGAAATGTGATTTAAAGTACTACAAATCACTAATTTCTGTCTTAGCTTATTAACTGGTCTCATTAGATGGGATAACTTATTTCCTAACATTATTTCATTTATTTCCTCTCTACTATTTACTAAGTAAATAAAAATKTACTATTTACTTAGTAAATAAAAATTTACTTGTTTTCTTCTCTACTATTTATTTCCTCTCTACTACTTACGAAGTATAGATGGCAATTTCTATTTATCACATGTTTATTATGTGACAGATATTTAAGGAAGTGTTTTGTATATATTATCATAAGTAGGCCTCAAATTATGAGGTATAWAAACTATTTTTATTCCCTATTGATTGTAAGTTCCCATATAGTTCCTATGAAGAAACTACGGCAAGTTCAAATAACACATCAATGAAATCAGATATCTAAAACCACGACTCAAAACCAGAGTTGAGAATCTTATTAGGCTTTTAATGGCCTAGGCAGTGTACTTTGCTTACAGATACAAGACATAGAATTTAAAAAGAGACAGACCTCAAGGGAAAGTTTTCATGCACAATTTTGATCCCTGTATTTTTCTCTAAAACTTACCTTTCTGAATTATGCATAGTGACTGCTAAAGTTTCTTTCTGAAATATATATCTTGAGTTTCTTCAAAAATTTAAAAGATTTCTTTGACTTCAGTAGCATGCATGCATATATATATATATATATATATATATATATATATATATATATATAAAATCAATTCCATTCATCCTACTAAAACTTAGTTACATATTAGGGATCAGTCCAACTGATGCATCTAAAGTCTTTACTTTCTTAAAATATTCAATTTGTACAATCTCAAGATGCTAGATGTGGGGCTGGGGTTATGACTCAGTGATGCAATGCTTGCCTAGCACCTGTGAGGCACTGGGTTCAAGCCTCAGCACCACAAAWAAATAAATCTATAGGACTGGGACAGCAGCTCAGTGGTAGAGCCCCTGTCTCTCACGTGTGAGGCAGTGGGTTCAATGCTAGGTGCCAAAGTTCTACCTACCAAATAACAGGGTTCCTTTTACGTACCTTCAAATTTATTCAGTTCAAACTTCAAAGAAAGGTTGCTGACACTTGTAGAGTGTCAGGATTTTACATAATAATCATAGCATTCATTCGATGTTACTCAAGAGCTTACAAATAAAACCCAAATAACTTCTCACATTTCACCTTTTTAAATCATTGGTATTTTGGGACTGTGATTATGTTTGATATTCTAATCAGCTATTTTTAATCCTATTATGCTAATCTATTCCCCATATCAAGGATATATTCTCTCTAATCATATACTGACAGAGCAAGTCCAAAGCAAGATAAGTTTCCCTTTTCTTCCCTCAATCTCCTTCTTTTTTTTTCTTGTACCCTATAATATCCAGAATGTACCAAGAAAAAACAAAAGTAAATTATCCTAGAAAAAAATCAATTTAAATTCTTACACTGACAAAAGGAAATTATTTACATATTTGCTCTTTATCACAGACTGAAAATTTTTACAAATAAATAGATAGGGGGACATCTGGGAAGTAATGAAAGAATTTAAGCCTTACCTCTAAAATCAAATCATACCTAAAGCTGAAATATGAAAAGCAAGAGAACATATGGAATGGCTGTCTTTCCTTCTCTCACTTAACCAAAATTCCAGGTTTTCCTGTACCTCAAGTTAAAACACACTTTGATTTATATAAGAGAAGGAAGCCTAGAAGAACAAGATTTAGGACTCTGGACAATGTCTACTAACAAAAAGAGGCACTGTAAGTTAAAAGTCAAAAAAAAGTTTGAGAATGGTCAGAGAATGCTTCTTGGAGTAGATGGTATCTCAAATCCCAAAAGAGGACTAAAATTAAGCAAAAAAAAAAAAAAACAAAAAAAAAGAAAGAAAGAAAGAAAGAAGGAAAGAGAGAAGTAGGAAAAAATGGTGAGAGGAGGGGATGAGTCTCTTAGGTCTCCCCTTTTAAGTATAAACAAGGTCCGCACCACATACCATATGGAAAAGATCAGGATAACCCTAATCCCCTGTATTCTTCCTATACTTAATAAAGCACAAACATTTCAGCATTCTTTTGCTATCTTACTAGTAACAATTATCCTGAAACTGTTTGGTAGGTTGTTAGATGAGTCTTTGATAMAATTTTAAAATAGTTCTGGCCAAGGAGGAATGCATGMAAAAAAAAAAAAAAAGAAAAATGATGCTGATATGAAGAAGAGATGAAACAGCCTACTATAATATAAAACTGTTTAAGAAAAAAACTAGCTAAATGGTCTGGTCTAGTTCAACAGACTTTTCTACTTTGAGTCTTGGGCTCAAGCTTCAGTTAATAATAAATTATAAAGATCACAGTAAAGATGAATACATGAACAAACAAATRTTATTATAATTTTAGTTTATAATTCCAATTTTATAATATTCTATAGGATTTAAAAGACAATTGCATAAAAATAACTATAAATCTATGCTAATGGGTACAGAGTACATAACATTTTAAATTGTGCCATCAATAACAAACTGAAGGGGATGGAACTGGAAACTTTTTTTCATACAACTGAAATTAAATTGGTATAAATTTTAGACAGATTGTAATAACTTTAGGATATTATATGTCATCTCCATGGTAACCTCAAAGAAAGTATAAAACATACAAAAAATAGAAATGAGGTGAGATTAAAAACATTTCACAACAAATATCAACTAAACATAAAGGCAATAATACAGGAAATGAGAAAGAAAACAAGCTATAACAAAGGGCTTACCAACAAAAGTAAATTATCCCCCATCAGTATTTACTTAACATATAAATGTTCTCAACTTCCCAAAAGATATAAAGTTGACAGAATGAATAAAACAATAAGATCCATCTGTATGCTATGTATAAGAGACTCTAGGTCCAGAAAAAACATAGGTCAAAAGTGAAGGAATGCAAAAGACATTCCATACAGATAATAATCCAATGAAAAAAAGGATTAGTTATAATAAATCAAAACAGATTACAAGTCAAACAAAGGACAAAGAGGGACATTTATATAATGAAATTTGGGAGTCATGTCAACAAAAAGATATAACAATTATAAAATATATACACCAGTCATCAGAGCTCAAAAATATATAATCAAACATTGATAGAATTAACAGGGAGAAATAGACAGCTCTCTAATAATATTAGGAGACTTCAAAATCCCATTTACAATAATGGACAGAACAATCAGACAATAAGCCAGATCAATAAAAAAGTAGAGGACTAAACTATATTGGCCATACACTTCATGAATGAAATTTGAACGCTTTATACTAACTTAAGTAATCCAGATAAAAAAGGTAAAATATTTGATGACTTCACTTATAGCCAAATTCATAAGACAAAATAGAATGTCAGTTGTCAGGGGCTGAGGTCAGGAAAGAGCAGAATGGGGCATTATTATTTAATGGGTATTTACTTTCAGTCTGGAAAATGATAAAGTTCTAGAGACAGATGGTAGGTAATGGTGGTATGAAGGAACTTAAGGCTTATCAACAAAAGTAAGCTATCCACTTAAAAATAGTTTAACCATATGTTTTATCACACACACACACAMAAAGAATCAATAAAAATGGTATTTCCTTAACTAAAGAAACACTGAGAAATTCCACAGTGCATAAAACAGTTCATACATACTTGGGCATCTTTATATCCATGAAAACCATGGCCTTAGAGAGTTCCACATTGAAGTGCATGGGCACCAAAATATGCTGTGTAGATACATTGAGTTTTCGTGCTTCTTTCCAATTATCACCTAATTACAGAATACAGTTCATATTTAATCTTGAAATAATTTGAATAACATAGTAAACCTAAAATTACCATAGGTAATATATAAACTTTAATTCTCTCCATGGTTTACAATTATCCCATTTTATAAAGCTGAGGCACAGAACTTATAAATTCTCTAAAGTCAATAGGCTAGTAATAAATCTGAAATTCATATCCAATTCTATAAACATGACCCTCTAGCTATGCTCACTACAATGTTACAAGCTTTAATTTTCAATAAGGGAATAATTAAATGCCTAAAAAATCACAAATACCTCCACACATTTACATTACAAAAGCAAATCCAATATCTTATATTCACACACTGCATGAGAAAATATCCCATAACATTCTCAGGTATACACAATCAACAGGCAAATTCTTTTCCCTTTTATCACTTTTTTGCTTTCTTTTTTTTCTTCACAAGACTTTCTTTTAGGTTCTACTAGAAAAAAAAATACTTATTCTTTTTGAAAAGCAGAAGTTCAAAGTAAATCTACTATATACTCATTGAGAATCACATAAAGCCAGATATTGTACCCCCAGAATTACATGGGTATAAGGCCATAATGGAAAAGAAGGTAAATTTATTTAATAGTAACTAATAAATGTTACCATTTACTCAAGATTTATAACTAGCATTATTGTAGGTAATATATAAACTTTAATTCTCCTCACGGTTTAAAATTATCCCATTTTATAAAACTGAGGCTCAGAGCTTACAAAATTTCCTAAAGTCAAGGGGCTAATAATAAATCTGAAATTCATACCCAGGTCTACAAACATGACCCTCAAGCTATGCTCACTGCAGTGTTACAGCCTTAATTTTCAGTAAGGGAACAATTAAATAACTTACAGAATAGSCTTAGAACACAACACAGCCAATAAAAATCATAAATTCCGTGGACCAAAAATTATTTGTAAAGTAAAAGAATTATTTGGATTTTAAAAACTATATAAAGCTGCCTTAAAAATCACAGATACCTACACACATTAACATTACACAGCATATCCAATCATTCATGGACACATGTTGTTAAAAACACTAAAAGAGGGGCTAGAGTTGTGGCTCAGTGGTAGAGTGCTCGCCTAGCATGCACAAGGCACCGGGTTCAAYCCTCAGCACCACATAAATGTAAACTAAATATATTGTATCCACCTAAAGCTTAATGTAAACTAAATATATTGTATCCACCTTAAGCTAAATATATTGTATCCACCTAAAGCTTAAGAATAAATATTTAAAAAGAAAACACTAAAAGTACCAACAGAGCTCATGTCTAAGCAATAAGACAAAGGATGGTTCTTTTTGTTTTCTGAATCATCCAGATTTTCTAAAGCAAACATTTATATTCAGAAAGAAATAACTTTAAAATTTTATTTAGGGTTAGGGGTGTAGTTTAAAGGTGGAATATTTGTCTAGCATTCCTAAGACTCAACATTCAATTCCCAGCCCTACACACACACACACAAATAAGATGAATGTGATCTCAATGCATTTTCACACAAACTACCTCATTTGTACCTMATTACTCTATAAGTCAGATAAACTTCTCATCTTGAAAAACCAGCCAAGGAAATGTTACACTCATGCAGATAAGTAGCAAAATGGGCTTTATTATAATTTTTAAAATTCTTCCACCAGAATTGAGATAGATAAAAATGTGATATTTAGAAGCATATATTTCAGAATTTTTCAAGGGATGCTATGACAATTATATAAAGTTAACACCATATCAAAAAAATGTTCAAAAAAAAGGATTCAATTATTTGAGAACAATTAATCAAAAAGAATTTCAATAATCTTCACAGTAATAATGGATTATTAAAATTTTAACCATTTTAGTATCTTAAATATTAAGTATGGCTCACAGACTTTAAAAAGCTATGACCAAAATGTCCATTCAAACATACCAAATGCCATAATTTATTCTCTGAAAAAGCATTTATAGACTTTTGACTTTGTTGTCAAATAAACTTCTAGTTCTCTTCATCTAAAAAATGAACTTGACCACTGATGCATGATTGTATACCACAATGATTGGGATACAGATGCCCAGGAGAGTGAACCTCCTCAGGCTTTGTTTGGCTATCTATAGTCTAGGCTATCAGAGACTCTAGATTAGTTGCCTCTAGCTTTGAGAAGCTTCTTTGCCTCTTCTGGTTATCCAACTGTGAACACAAATATCAACAACAGGGTTAAGAGTGAGTCTTAGTGGTAGAGTTCTAGACTACCATTTGCAAAACTCTGGGCTCAATCCCCAATACCGCAAGAAAAATAAATTTAAAATTTAAAAAATAAATATGTGTACATAAAAAATAGGTACACATATCATTAGCAATATGTGCCAATCTTTGGTCCAAGGTTAGATATTCTGATATGGATCAGGATTTCTCAACCTTGGCACTAATGACATTTGTTGCTGGAGGCTGCCCTGAACACCTTTAGGCAATATATACAATGGCTTTTAATTCAAAAATTATGAAGAATGTCTTTAGACAAAGTATCTAAAAACCTAATTAAATTACTTTCAGCAAAATCAATGAATAATGCAYTTTATACTTACCCACTCTACTATAAAGTAGTTGTATGCTTGTAAGGTTAATATCAAAGGAATCATAAGCTCTTTGCATAATTTCTTCAAGGTTGGGCCCACCTTGTTTCACATCTGGTAATTCTGAACGAACTTTACTTGTCACCTTGAAGTTAATTTTAAAAGTTTAGACTATGCAAAATATTTCAAAATATAAGTATAAAGTTTTTATCTTTCAGACCTATAATGTAAAAATTTAATAGGAAAAGAAACTCACATGCAGAAACATATTGTAATGTTATTAGAAAAGTCATTATTCTTAAGACATATACTGARAAGGACAGGACATAAGGTAAATTTTTACATGTTAAGTTATATTTCCCATTACTTATATATTTTTTTTATTTTTTATKGTTGGTTGTTCAAAACATTACATAGTTCTTGATATATCATATTTCACACTTTGATTCAAGTGGGTTATGAACTCCCATTTTTACCCCATATACAGATTGCAGATTCACATCAGTTACACTTCCATTGATTTACATATTGACATACTCAAGTCTGTTG